GGAGCTACCTGCCAAGGAGCAGCAGGTAAGCGCATAGTCCCTCCTGCTAGCCCTCAATGACTAAGTGGAGTCCAATTTAAGGAACATACAATAACAACACAATAAAAATACATTCAGATAGACTGCGATATGAACCTCTCCAACTTGTTTTATATTAATCAACACAGATGTTCTGCATGCCTTTTTTCTTTCATCTCCTGTTTTACTTTCATTAAAGCTGAAACACCTGTTTGCCACGAGGAACGGCCTAAATCACGCACAGAAACAGCACGGCGGGTGATTTTAAATTTAGATCACCTTTATCTATTCCCGTGTTCAAGGGTCAGCCTTGTGTTTCCCTCGCCCTCGGCTTAGATAAGGGTACTCTGGGCCATAATGATATTTACCTGCTTAATTTCAGTGTGTGGGAGGGTTAAGGATGCATGCTCCAAGGATGTATTAGGCGACCAGCGGTCTCTTCATATGCTAAAGAGCAAGCGCTTGGTTCATCTGGCAGAAGGACGCATTCAGCGCTGCAGGACTCAGGGCTCATAAATACGTGTTCAGCGAGGAAGTGAATAGGAGCAGGCAAACTGAGAGTGACTGACATTTAAGCGGTAGCGGAATCCATTAACCTTAACCTCACGGGTGATGTGGAATATCCTCAGTGAATCTTAAAGGTGATCTTCCTCTGTGCTCAGCTCTAGACTTTGAACTCTTTGCGAAACAAACCACTTCTGCTTTGTGTCTGGTTGTATTAACCAATCATGTCTGAGTTTTAGTTGCATGCAGGTATACAGACAAACTGTCTCGAAACCTTGTGACAGTGTGATAAGCTTTTAAAAAAATTTTCAGTATTCAATGTGTGCAATGACAAGCAGACAGAAGAGGAAGTGTTTACCAGACGTGTGGTGGGTATACCAGAAGACCTGAAAAAATGTCCCAAAGGGTTCTGAAATTTGGTTAACCAGAACCAGGTGCTTCAATACTAAATCGATATTTGAAAGTGACACCAGAGTAGTGACAAAATCTGGTACAATTTAATTAGTTTTCAGTGTTTTACACGGGAGAAAAACTTTTATTTTTACATGCAAATTTAAATAAATACATAACATATTTTCTTGGCCTTGTTACCACACAGTCAAATATATAGTGATGTTTCTAATGGCAGGAGATGAAGTGTTTCTTTATGACCTCGTAGAAGCAGGGTTTACGGCTCTCATCTGGTTGCCTTGGTGGTGGAGACGATGAAACTGTGGTGGAGGAGGCAGAAGAAGCCTGTAGTGCTCTCTTAGACTGTGAGTCAGCCAAGTGTTTGGATAGTCTCTTCTCCGGCCCTGACAGGTGGGAGGACTTGCCTTTAATGTCTTCTGTGCTTTTCCCGGGAGCTCTGCTGAGCCAGTATGAATTCTTGTCATTTTTATTTAAGCGGTGCGGGCCTGCTTGGCAGAGAAGTGCCTCCTCGCCTCGCTTGCCATCTGGGGGCTCTGACTTAAGGTGACGAAGCCGTAGGGGGTGGTGATTTTGGTCAAGTGCGGCAGGGAGAGAGCGGCTTTGCTTGCGGGGTCAAGGCAATGCTGGGTCTCACTGTAGGAGCAAGGAGAGTGCAGCTCCCTCTGAAGGAGAGATCTCCTCTTGGTTAAAGGGTCTGAAACACACCGCTCAGCTTTGCGCTCTGACCGAACTAAAGCAAAGCTGGAGAATGATGCAGATGACGAGACCGTGGCGCAGGCCGAAGAAACTGAGGATTCTGGCGTCATCTCTGAGCCCCCTTCTCTCTCTTTGTTACTTTCCTTGTCCAGTGATCTGAAGCCAGTCTGCACAGACAGACTTGGAATGGTGAACTGTGGGATGCTGTCAGGAGTCAGGATATTCGGAAAAATGTTCTCATGGGAATCGAAGGACTTTGCGGTGCCGGTACCCCACGAAAGCGCCTGGATCCCTGCACTGCTGTGCCTACGTCCTGTGGGGAAATCATCTGAAGCTTTGCTTCCACTGCAGATAGCTCCAATGGTGAACGTTCTGGTGACGGGATTCTTATTCATGTTTAAATCTCTTTAACCCTCTCTGCACACAGGCTCGGAGCGTCTGTAGATTTTGAAATAGGAGTGGGGAGAGGCATCTTTTATGCTTTTCCACATCCCTTTGTCCTCCAGCAAATGCATCAAAGGGTGCGTAAATGTGACGAAGACAGGTAGCGGAAACAGTTTCCAATTAGGGAAACTGTCAAGTATGGAAGCTTAATGATGGGCCTCTTTTTTAAACCTCTTTGTGTGCCAAGGAGCACGCAGGACAGATGTTGTATTCTGATAACTACATGAAAGGTTTAGATTTTGAAAAGAAACTTGTTTAACATTTTAAGATTCGCACATTTTTTTTTATTTGCAGTGGGACAGGTGCTATTGCATATTTTATTAGTGACTAATAAAACAGTGAAGAGTACCCATCGCTCCTTTATAAATTAGATTTTGTAAAATTGCAGCTTTTGCAAAAAGGATGTTTAAAAACAAACAGCTAAGCTGCAAATATGTATGAATTCTACAAAGTAAATATTTATCTGTGATATTTAAAAAGTTCTAGGAAACTGTTCTGTTGATTAATAAACTGTAAAATCCACCCAGGATATAAGTGGGGCTGATTTTAGCTGATACATCGGTATCTACAATTATAATGGCCGTTAAATGAAAATTAAAAATTAAAAAAGGGAAACACAAACACTTGTATTTTATGATTGTTGATGTTGGAATGTTTGTCCACCAGAGGGCGCTCTGCAACGTCCCTGTCGGTAAAACAGCACACACAGGTCACCCAGCTGATCTGATCAGAGGTGGGCAGAAAGCAAGCTTGTGTGACAATAAAACATTTTCTTAGGAAATAACTTTATATTACAAATGTTAGCCTTCTCCTTCTTTCAGCTGCTCTATTTAGGACTCACCACAGTGCTTCATCTGCCTCCATCACACCCGACCTTTGACATCCAACCTTCTGCACTGTCCCTACATTTAGAGTCCCCAATCTTACATCCACTCTTCCACCAACAGTAGCACAGTTCCCTGCAGTCTGGAGGCAGTCTTTGTTAACGGGGCCAGTATGGTTTATTCCCATCTTTCAAGAACCCGGCCTTCACCCCCTGACCGCTTTATATCGACAGAGATATAAATGAATAATACATTTAAAAAAATAAATAAAATAATACATTTCAACTTTCTAACTAAACTGGGGTTGAAGTAAATTTTAGCGTTGGTCTTAGACTTAGTAACGTAAAAATAACAAGAAGTTGGCCCCCCGAAATTCAAGTTATGTAGCAGAAATTTTGAGATTACAACCCAAAACTTATACTTACAGATCGCATGTTTAAGCGCTGATAGAAAACATTTCAGTTGCAGAGACACGTGTATATTTCACGGCTGCATTTTAAGTTTTCCATTACCCGTTTGTGATCCCTCCCAGCCCAAACCGTTTTGCCCGCCTTTTTTGGCCTGATGGAGGTTAATTGGCGATTTGCTCATTGGCTCGCGCTGATTGCAGCAGGTGCATTTGTCTGCATTGATTGGCTGCAGCGTTGACGCTTCAGGGTACATTTCATGCTCTAACTCCTTCACAAGCTGTGGTTTCTCAGTTCGCCCTCGGTCTATCGCAGCCCTCCAGCTTCAGGTTTTAATCCGCAGAAGAATGAGTCTTGAGGGCGTCAGCGAAGTTGTGGAGGTGGAGGTGGAGCAGGATCAGGTCCGGGTCCAGACTAACAATACTGAGGTAAAGGAGAGGGGGACTTCTCGCTTCTGCTAGCTGCTCGGGTCCTCTCGCACTAGCAGGAAGGTTGTTTGTGTTTTGTTTTTTCACCGGTCGTGTCTACTTACCTGCAGGACAGAGTTGTGAGGAGAGACCGGGTGCTTCCCTCCCTGCTGCGCGGCCTCTTCTGGCCCTTTGGCATCGTTGTACGTAGCTGACAAAGTTACACCCCTCTCTCCAGCTTTAGCTAAAGTAACATTGCTCTGATTTGCAGGTGCGTGCATACCGCGGCTTTTGGTGGGTGCTGGGCTTACGGCAGACAAAGGAAAACGTCCTCGTTAACCCCACGGTTTCCAGCCCTGGGCGCCAGAGCCTCTCGGGCCGCAAGCGCCTGAGCCGGGTCACCCGCCTGCTGCTGTACGTCCTGCCCCGCTGGATGCAGAGTGCCCTCGGCTATCCGGTGTCCAACAGAATCGGACTGTCCCTGTCCCCAGGTAAGTGCATGTTTATTTTGTCGAATAATATGAACAGGACACGGACTGATACCACTGTTCAGACATGGCTGATACTTAAAATAAGTCAGTGGAGACAATTAGGTGACAGTTTGTCATTAGTAGAGAAAAGAATTTGAAAATGGGGCCAAATGTACTTGTACTGGCTCTACGTTTTACCTTTGACTCTTCAACTGCTAATGTGAATAACTGCTGGCTTGCAGCTTTGCCTACAGAATATTTCTGTTTTTAGAGTTACTGAGGGACTCTGTTTAGAATCATGAAACAAACGGTTTGAGCAATTCAGCAGTAAAACAATGTTTATCTGAACCTCCTGTTAAAAAGCTGATTGACTAAGCAGCCTTATGTCTAATAAGGAGTTGTCTGGCCTTCTGCAGCCGCTTACTGAACAAAACCTAAGAATTTCAGACACTTGTGGCAAGTTCAGTTTACTTTCACTAGGTATTCATTCTTTGATCCTGAAGTTTATAAGTGTTAGATTGTTTGTGCTTAAGTAGTGTTTGGATGTGCCATACTGTATATGGAACTTATGATTGTACTGTTGTCCCCTCTGAGCAGGACACTCTTGTACATGATTTAATTAAAGTGTTTTTCTCCTGCTTGAAGGTTTGAATATAAATGAACTTTAAAGTTTTCTCTGAAATTGAGTGAACACTGCGTCATGAAAGGTCATGCTTTGTGAACAGAAATCAGAGTGTCTCCTGCAAAGCCCTGTGGAAAGGGCAGTAAGAGAAAACGGGATAATGTGGAGGAGCAGCAGACTTGGGTGGAGGCGCTCTCTCAGGAGCTTCCTGACGATGATGGACCTGAGGTTGACCCTGACTATGAGGTTGGTATTGTGGGGGGGGGGAGACAAGGAAGCAAACTTTGCTGTGTATTTTTCTCCCCCATTAGTTTTATGCAGAGCTGTAAATTTAAAGTTGTAAAACTCACTCCAGAGACCACATGCTTGGTTTCTTTAACCTGTGGCTTTAATTTTAGTTACAGACATGAAGTGCATCTTAAAACATGGCCGCTTCCTTTCTTTTTAAAGCCCAGCTCTGTAGAGACGGAGAGTGAAGAATACCGCTCGCACAATGACACAGAAAGTGACCTTGAGGTTTCGGAGAAGGATGTCGTCATTGACGACGTGAACATGGTGAGCTGAGTGGCGGCACTGTTCTGCAAACGAATTGTTGAACGGCTGAATCAGCTCAGCTTTCTTGTCTCTACAAGGAGTTGATGTGCCCACTCCTGAAGTCTCCTGCCCTGCTGTTTAGCGTGTCATATTGAGTGTCTTTGTTGCAGGTTGTTCTTGTATGTTTATATTTCATAATTCAATAAAACTTTATCCCTTTGCCTTGGCCTGCTTGTGTGTTACCACCAGATGGCAGTAATGCTACATAAAACTAGAGTTGGGAGCATAAGGGGAACTGGACTTCAGCTTGGACATGTTACTGTTCATGTACGGCACAACATGAACACAAACCTTGCAAGTTTGCAAATGTTCTGCACTAAACTTGAAGAATATTAGTAGGGTAGGTTTTCTGCAGCTGGTAGCTTGCACTTAAAAGATGCTCACACTGGTCTTCAAATCTTGCAGCCTCATGTTGATGTCGTATCTGTAAACATCTAAGGCGCTTCAGTTGTGCAGGTGTATTTTATAATATTTCATAATATTTCTCCTTTACAAGATCAGTACTAAACATTGCAAGCAATAATGGGCAAGCTGAAGGTTGAAGGCTCTGGACTCATTGTGCTAGAGTCTTTTATATAGGACTCACCACGAGTGAGGTTCTGATCAGCCTCTGAGCTGTCGGCTTAGTTTTTCTTAGTACAAAATGTGTGCAGTCTTACTGTTTGTAGATATGCATGTATTTAAAGACAAGGATTTTAGCTTAGGTTTCAAAAATTCATGTCTGACATGCACATCAAAGGTGTGACACTTTCAAACCGTGACGGCAGATGAACCAGGACTATTTTTGACTTAAAGCAGGTGACTTTCAGCTGTTTGACTCGAGTTCATCCAAGCAGAAAAGTGCTCTTACCACAGCGCTCACATCTGACTGTGCTGCCGGTGAGGGGGACGGCTGCTGTCATGTGGCTCTCATAAGAGGCTGACGAGTGTCATTTTCTGCTGCCCACAGAGCCGAACCTCTATCCGTGTGCACGCACGGTCCCTCTGTTTACTGCTGAGTGTGAGGTGTACTTACAGAAGCTCATGGCAGGCTGCTGTGAAGAGCCCTGAAAACCTCTTGAAAAATGACTGAACCGGTACTTGTTCAACAATCTGCTCCCACGCGGATGAGCTGCCGCTGTACCGATTTTGCATTGTCAGTAATGGGGGAGCGGATCAGCTCGCTAATGGTTTCATTTATTTTTGGGTTTTATCCAGTTTTCATTCCCTGGATGGATGCGAACGAGGCTGGAGGAAGGAGCACTCTTCAAAATAACACTGTGTTGAACTGTTATTGTGCTGTAATTTGAAATGGGGGAACTCCGCCTGTTTTCTTCATAAAGGTCACTTATTAGTCATATAAAGAATTCACTTTGGAAAACAACTGAATTCTTGCTTTTTCAGTTTCAGTGTCTGCTTTGATGAGGGAAAGTAAAAGCCTGACCTGGAAATTTTAACAGACTCGGAGTGCACCGTAGCACACTGAACCCGTGCTAGAAGTGAGGATGTCCTGGCCCTTTCTGCTCTGATTTTTGCCTCCTCAAATGTCTCTTTCTGAAGTTTTTACTGTATGTTTGGCTATTGAAAATTCAGTTTGCGAAGCTGCCGCCTTCTTTGATCTTTTTTTGGAGCTCATTGAGGTCTAATGATTATTAGAGAGGGCAGGTATTCTTCACTTTAAATTTATCATTTGCAAGTTAAAAAATAAACAGCAGTAAACATTTAAGTGCTTTCTCCCCTCTTGCAGTGACCTGTGCTACAGTTAAATTACTTGGAGGGAGGTGCCACATCCAGGGTAGATCAGTTATTTGCTTGTTGGTGCCAAAAAATCCAGCTGCCTTCAATTAATTCCTAAAAACACACGAGGTTGTTTTGGCAGTAAAGTTTGTGACTTCCTTTTTTCCTTCCCTCAGAGGTGTTTTTCACCCTGTGATGCTGGGGTGCAAAAGCAGCTTCGCTGAAGTTTCACATACTGATGTGAATTAAACGCTTAGTGTGTGTGTGTGTGTGTGTGTGTGTGCGCGCGCGTTTTCAGGAAGGGCAGCAGCAGTGAGAGCTGGCTACAGAACAGGAACTTATGGTCTCTTGGGGCTCTCATGGCTGTCTGAACGTTTGAAGGGTAGACCGCTCAGCGGAGGCAGCACTAGAGAGCATCGACCTCTATCTCTGCTGTTTGTAGCCAGCTGGAGACCTGCTTTTAAAGCACAAGCTCTGCCTTTGCCTTTCAAGTGCAAGGTAAAAATCATGAAGTCTGGAAGGGACAAAAAAAAAAAAAATGCATTCGCATATTCAAACCTGCTGTGGAACAAAGACTTTTTGCCTCATGCAGAGAATATAGTGGGGCTTTTGTTCTGTAACGGGTGGTTGCATGCAGTATGATTTGTAGAGAAGATCAGTTCAGATGCAGGGTGGCTGTGTTGCAGGCGGTAGGTGCTTTCATATTTATTTTTGTTTTTACCGGATTTATGTGAGCAGCACAGATGGTTTGAAAACCTCTCTGAAATGCACAAACCTAGAGGCAGAGCCGTATCTAGGACTTGACGACATTGGCTTATTGTCACCTTGAGTGAATGGCAGCAGGTGCCGGCTGCTCTCCAGGCCTCCAGCCTGACCTGCGGGCTATTATCTGCCACATTACAATGTGACTCTGTAATGTCAGCCAACAAGACTGCTCAAACCAACTCCCTTGTCTCTTACTTTTTCTCTGTAGCGTTCTTTGCTGGCCCTCCGCACCCTCCGCAGCACAGTCATGCAGCGTGATTCACTTTACCTCAAGCCTAATGACCGGCTGTCCCCGTAGATTTCAGGAGCATCCATCATCTTCAGAGCAGCAGAGCAAGAAAAGAGGCATGAAAAATGAAGCAGACAGACAGAGCCTTTAGTTAGTCATACACTTTGATGCCCGGGACTGTGAGGGTTCTCAAAAAGTTTCAAAGTAAGAGGAAAGAGCAGATTTTGTAAAAGCGGCGTTGATCTGCTGCTGATGGATGAGCGAAGGGCCGACTTTTGCTCCCGCCTTGGGGAGCTGTCGCTCAAAATCAAGTCAGCTTTCTGGAACAAAACAATCCAGTAAGGATAATGTGACATGGCAGCATTTTTCATTCCCTTAATGCTGTTTTATCCCCCTCACATAATTTTACATCATAATCTGGTGCCCTGAACCGTCAGAGGCCAGCTTATCCTCCAAGTCCACCGGAGTCACCGGGTAGCTTCACCACATCTTATCATCTGGATCATAGTATTTTAGGTCTCCCCGTGCCTCTCGAACAGTCCGGCTGGAGTTGAAGCCTCTGCTTCTATCTGTGTTGCGATTGTCCTTGTCTGTCTGGAGGTCGGTTACACCTCTGAGTCACACCAGCAAATTGTGTCGGGCCTTCGAAGTGTGTGATGCCAGCCCCCGCTGATGGCAGTGAGCAAATCCATTTACACATTTAGGATGCTATTCTGAGCACAGAGACCAACAAGACACGTGACCACTGGTGGATTTGTGGTATGTGTGCAGAGGGGGCTCAGTTTGACAGCTTGTAGATCTTAATTCACGATCGGGATCTGCAGTGCAGACGCCTTCCTGCTCTGAGTGGTTTGACCTTTGACTCTTTTATTTAATTTGTTCGCACCAGCTGCAGGAGTCGTGGCGTTTTCGGCTCGCAAAAAGCTGGATGGAGTTGAAAAGGTCAAACATCAAATTTTATCAGGCAGTTCATACCAAACAAGATGGAAGACAGTGATTTGAGCTTTGAAAAGTTTTCAGATCCATTTTTTAAATGAATTTTAAAAAATTTGTTGTGCTCTCAGTTTTTTTTTTTTTTTTTAAAACCTCGTGTTTTTTTTTTTTTTTTTTTGTCTGGATGTGATTTTGCAAGCCAGAGTAACGTTTTGAATACGAAGTATAACCATGAAGAGTTTATACAGCAGATTTCAATTATTCATGGACCCGGGCACGGTGTCAAACCTGCACTTCGTCAGTGAATGTATTGGATAAACTTTATTAGCAGGTAGATACAGAATAACAACAATGCAGCATAGATACTGTAGCTCTGTTTTAGTGTTAGAGGATATTAGAAGTAACTCTTTTGCTTTTTTTAATGTGTTCTGTCTCTATCGTTGACACTGAGCAGTGCTGTAAGCTGCTCCCGACTGTTGCAAATATAAAACTTTTGGTATTTGTATTGAATATCTTTTAAAATTAATTTGATTGCCTATTTCTACCAAGTCTATTTTTCTTTAGAAAAAGGCCAGTAAGTGACGAAGAAGTATTAAACAGCGCAATGTATTTAAAAATTGTTAAAATAAACTGTACGACTGCATTTTGGGCTACTTGAGAATATAAAATTCGTAGCATGTTGTGAGTGGGAGTAAGAAACTCTGTCAAAGTCAAAGCTGAATAGTATAAAATCTTCTTACCCCTAAATGTCAGCATCTCAAACCTGTACTGACAGTAGGCACAGCTCTTGAATAAAGACGCTCTGACACTTTCCACCCACCGTTATCCTGAACGGCAGCAGAGGTCGCGGCTCCACGTTCACACTGAGATTCTAACTTAGCAGCTTTTAAACCCCGCATTGGTCCCCTCAGCGCCACGAGCAGGGTTATCTTTGTGATTTTAAGAAGAGAGCAGAGCGTAAAGGTACAAACTGGAGTTTCTGAGCTGAAAAACTCTCAAAAGAAAAAAATTGCTGTGTTCCCAACGTTGATATCTTTACACCAAATTTATTTCATGTTTGTAAAATCAGGTTTTGTGAGCGTGTGCTTCTTCAGCTCTGAGGGTGAACTCCTTCTATTCACTCCTCTCTGCTGCCAGTCAACTATAACCTCGGCTTCTGGTTTCGAGACAGACACATGGGATTTATATTCTACCAGGTTAGAAAAGGGACAGCTGCTTCCTCTGATGCTGCCAACATTGACTCCACCTGTTCACATATTTTGTACACAGATGATTTTAACAGTTACTTTCGCTTGATTTCTGAATTTGAAACATAGACTGATCATTAATGGTGAGATTACTGCTCAAACAGCTGCTTAAAGCAATATCCATAAATTCATTAAATAATTATTCTGCATTAAATGTTAAGAATAGTAAGTAAAATATTATGTGGTGATACTTTTTTGCTCTGTCTGATTTCACCTCTAGTAATATGTCTTTATATGTGCTTAAAATATGTTTTGGCCATTTTTGCCAAGTCTCTTTCTTATAGTTGAG